GCGGGGAGGTGCAGAGCTGTGAGGGAATTTACAAAGGGGGCGTGTGAATATCTGAGGCTTGGGAGACTCCGGCCTGGCCTCATGGCACTCTTCAGAGATGGTAAACTGGAGGATCAGAGAGGGTAAGGGATCTGCTCAAGGTAACACAGTAAGACCCTGACAGAACACCACCTGATTCCTAGTCATGCTCATCTCCTGCTCCTGAGGAGTGGGCTGGGGGCTAAGCAGGCTGACCCGGGGGAGGTGAAGGTGGGAGCCTGGAGAGCCAGGTATGGGGAGGCCACCCACGCTCTGGCCCAACCCTTCTCCTGCAATGCCACTCTCTGCCCAGCCCAGGCTCACCTCCACCATTTTTGTAGCAGAGGTACGGGAAGCGCCAGACGTTGCCCAAGCCGACGAAGCCGCCAGCCACGGACAGCACAAAGTCAATCTTGCTGGCCCACTTCTCCCTCTGCGGGGGCTTCCCCTCAGCCTCATCCTCAGGCCGTGTGCCTGGGCTCTTCCCTGGGGATGGCTTCAGGATATCCTTGTGGAAGTCTTTGAGACACTGCAGCTTCTCCTTGGTGGCCATGTCCTCCTTGCTTTCTGTGGGGGACAGAACAGAGTGCAACGTGCGTCGGTAAGGGACACCCTGTGTGTCTTAACACACCCGGCTGGGCGGCTCTGGCCTGCTGCCGCCTCGTCTGTCCACTCCTCTGACCTCCTAGGTGATCGGGGGACCTAGTGATCCAGGGACTGACACGTGCCATTCCCAACAGAAGCAGCGGGGCCCACGCCCGGCATCCCCGAATGTCACACCGCACCCTCCACCTGCAGGGAGATAAGCATGAAGCCACCCAGCCCTGGCAGCATCTCCGCCGAATACAGCACCCTCCAGGCAGGTCTAGGGCAGCTTCCGAATAACAGCCTGCCTGCATTTTCTAGAAATGATCTCCAAATTTCAGATTTGCACAAAAAGCGATGCCTCCCATTTCACTCACACCTCAGCACAGGGCCTGGCCCACAGGAGGTGCTCGTTCCTCACTGCTTAAAGAATGGATAAACACAAACAAGTGAGGAATGGGGTTTCAGGCTGGAATGGAAACGATATTTGAAAACAGAGTCTCCATCACATACAGAAAATGGACGCTTATAAAATATATCCGCAACTTATTAACCAGTCACATCTCTGCGGCACAAGAAATAAGGGATTTTCACTGGTCAGGATTATGGAAGAATGCCGGTTAATCCCCACGTGTCCAGCCCTCTCTCTCCATGCTCTGGCCTGCTCTGACCCCTGTATCACCCAGGGCCCTGGCCCTCTGACTACCCTGTGGGTTTCTCGAGGGCAGGCCCCAGGGGCTATCAAATCTCTAAGCCCCCAGGAGCCGCTCACAGTCACCCTCAGCCCACCCCTGCTGGGACCCCATTTTAGAGGAGGTCGGCCACCGGCCAGCGCAGCACCCCTGCTCTCCGTGCTTCCTCAGGTCCCCGAGTCCTTGCTGTCCCTGGCAGCTCGACCTTGTGGGCAAGAGCATCCCAAGTCCCAGCCCAGTGGGAGAGGGTGGCTTCTACGCCCACGTGGCAGAGGACCGTGAGGACGGAGGAGCCTTAGTTTCCCCACCTGCAGAATGAAAAGGATGATGGCAGAGGTGACCGACTCATAGCCAAGCAGCTCTGAACACAACCTGCTTGTTTTCGTGATCCAAATCGGTGGGCAACACTGAAATATCAGATTCCAGAGAAAAGTCGAGATTTCTAGGTTTTCTTACAAAATCGGAAGGTGGGCCACGTTGGGTTCACGATCCCTACAGTGACCTCCAGCTGGACCAGAGGCGGCCATAACCCCGGCTCACTGGACCTGTCCAGGGGCGTCTGAGTCCGCCTGCCACAGTGGCACTAGCTGAAAATACCTTCCTTGCTTCCTTGTTAACGGTCTTCTCCACAACTAGAAGAGAGGCTCCGTGGCACCGGGACCTGCCTTGTCCACTGCTGGGTGCCCCGAGCTGGCACACAGTAGGTCGTCAGGCAAGGACTCCTGGGTAGATGGTTCCCAGAGTGTGTCTGCAAGCAGCTGGGGCCAAGTACCAACCCCGGCTCTGCCGCTTCCCAGCCCCATGACACTGGCAGGTCCTTGGCGTGTGGCCCAGAGGCGTCGGGGCAGGGCAAGGCGAGGGCTGCCGAGGGGACGCGCTGGCCTGGCCCCAGCAGCGGGCCCTCCAGGGCCGTGCTCTGAGGAGAGGCACGCAGCAAAACAGAACCCCCGTTCCCCCACGCCTCCTTCCTCTCCTGGCTGGGGGTGGGGGACCCCGATTGTTTCGCTATCTGGCGGTGAGCAGACCAAGAAAAGGCTTCCTGGAGCCGCCGGGCGGCTCACTGGGCCTTCCTCTGTCTCCGGGCGACGGCATCCGCAGGCCTTTCTTTGCCCGCTCCCTCGGGGCGACGCGGGGTTCTGCCGAGCGCACGGCTGCTGTAAAAATAGCCCGGGCGGCCAGCATTGTTCCAGCGCTGATCCGTGCAGCCCCCGATAGTTATCTGAGTAGCCCATTGTGGGCCGGCTGGATGGGAGCATAATTGGAGGATGTGGGACTCCACTCCCTCCTAGTGGGGATGTTTTCCAGGGAATGACCCCTGAGCCTCCTCCAAGAGGGGCCGGTGCCGCCCTTTCGGGCCCTCCTTGGATCTCGGGGCCGGAAGGCACTTCACCAGGTCAGCCAGACGGAGCGGGGAGGTGGCCGGCTGCTGCTCACATAGGCTGAGGGCACTGGCGAAAGCTACCCTGAGTCCTGGCTCTGCCCTCTGGGCCCCAGGCCCACTTGCCACTCTGGCCCTCAGAGAACCCTCTGGAAACATGAGGCAGGGAGCAGCAACAAGCTCCCTGAGACCCTTGGCTCCAGGCTCTGGTTCCATACGAGACCTCCGGCCCCCTTTTCCACACTCACGACCCCATCTTCCCGACGCCTGTACCTGAACCAGGGTCGGGGGTGAGGCCTGTCATGTCCTGGTGTTGTAGTGGTCTCCTCACTCCTCACTGCCAAGGTGTACCTGCAGATGTGTTCCTGCATCACTGACACCTGTCCCACCTGTGGCTGCTGCCATCACAGGCTCACCTGGCCATCGAGAACACATAGCCCAGGGAGGTCCATGACCTCGCTCAAGACTCACGCCTGGATGTGGTCTGACCCAGGTGCAGACACCCCAACTCCCTCTCAGGGGGGCTCCTTCCAAGCTCCTCTGGGGTGTCCGAGGAAGCCCCCGCAGCAAGATCCGCGGATTCTGCCTCCTGTACATGCCTGGCATCCACCCACTTCTCCATCACCATGGCAGCTACCGGCTCAAGGCTCGACAGCCCTCCATGGGCATCCCCTGCAGCCTCCCCCTGGGTCTCCCTGCTGCTACTCTGCCCACCCCACCCCTACAATCTGTTCTCAAAACAGCAGCTGAAGGCAACTTACGAAGCAGACTCAGATCATAATGCCCCTCCACCGCAACCCTCCGTCACTCCCGGAAGAAAACACACGCGCCTCACCACAGCTACTGGGTCTCAGCACAGGCCCCTTTTCCTTGGGACACTGGTCCCACATAACCGCTTTAGTTCAGCCCACCCCTCAGGCTCGGGCTTCCCGCATGGCTGCTCTAGGCCCTCTGGTGGCAGCCTGGCCCCTGCAGGAATCAAAGGGTGATCCTCGGCCTAGAAGCTGAGAGCCGCTTCCTGGCTGAATGACCTCAGGCAAGTTACTCCACCCTCTGGCCCTCAGTGCTCTCCTGTGTCAAGAGGGATAACTGTGGCCACCTCATAGGGATGTTACGAGGATTGAACGAGGGGGTGCCCACGGCAAGTGGTGGGCACCTCTGCCAGCGTACTACTCTGCTGTTACTGCTCTAATTATTCTGGGGTCCACACTGACCATGCGGTACGGAAGGCCTCAGTCCTACTCAGGGTGAGATCAGCAAGACCCAGAGAGGCCGAGTGACACTGCTGAGGTCACGAAGCTGGGAGTGACAGCGACCATGATGTTCTGGAACCCCCAGCTCCGCCTCACTGTCCCTTGGCCAGTCCAGCCCGTCCAACTCTGCAGACCACCAAGAGACTCACTAACTCCCTCTCGCCCGTCACACACCAACATCGCGCCCCCAGTGCAGCCAGCACTTGGGAACGAGCCCCCTCCGAGGTGTCCCAGACGCCCGCTGCCTTGCAGGCCGCCGCTGAGCGCTGTTTTCCTTGGCGCCAGGCCCAGGGCTATTTTCTAGCAACCGTGATACATTATTCCCCATTTTAAGAGCTTCCTATTTGCTTATTACAGCTACAAGTGATTAGAATCGGCTCCAATACAGAGGTTCCACGACGAAGGCTCCCTCCTTGCCCAGCTGAAACTCCTACTCTGTTCTTGGGGTGGACATCACAGCCAGGGCCTGGTTCCGGTGCCTGAAGACCAACGTGCAGATCACCTGGTTGGCTTGTGACACGTACTCAGACAGAGTCAACCTAGTGCCAGAGATGCCGTGGGTTGACAAGATGTTCCTTTGCTTCCTCCCAATGTAAAACTACCAAATTTTTGAGTACTTTAATTCTGTGCTGAGCTGTCTATACACAGTTTTCTATGCACTCTTCAAACACCCTCAACACTGCAGAAGGGATTTTTAGGACCGTTTTACGGATGGGGGGAGTCGAGGCTCAAGCAGGGAAGAGAGTGGCCTGGCTGAGGATACACAGGTGGGAAGGAGACTCGAGGCAGAATTCCCAGCTGGTCTGCCCAACGCTGAAAGCACTGGAGCGAAGGTTAGAGAGCAGCCTCTGCAGGGTTTGCAGATGGGGACGCTGAGTTCAGAGGGAAAGGACTGCAGAGGTACAGAGCCAGCAGCGGGGCAGGGCCGGGGACCCCGGGTGCCCACGCACCAGCCATCTGGGTCTTGAAATTGAGATGCTACTGAGGCTCCTCCCCCACACCTGCCACCTCAGCCCAAGGCTTTGGGGGAACCAAGCCCAGAAGCTGGGGGGCTCTCTGCCTTGCCCTCCCCTGCAGAACTTGAACTTCCTCAAGTAAACAGTTTCCCATGTGGCTCTCTCCTGTCAAGAACAATGACTCAAGTCCCCTGTTGTCACTCAGGAGTCCCTACGAGGTTTTTAGATAAGAGGGCAGGTGCTTCTGTTTCCTTTTTGGGATACTTTCCCCGCCCCAAAAGGGCGTAGCCCACAGCTGGGCTATAGGATCAATCTCTGGACCTGACACCTGGGGTTTGGCAAGCGACTCCCAGAATCCCTGAACTGGGGCAGGAGGACAGCTGGACGACAGAGCCATTCATTTCACAGGTAGGGAGCCTGCGGCCCGCTGGGCCTGCTATGGAAACAAGCAAGCGGCTGGACCCCTTGTCTGCCCTTTCCAGAGCAGGGTCCCTCCTCCTCTCTCCTTTCCTTGTCCCCCGTCTCCACTCCAGACCCAGTGTTCTGGGCTCACAGAGGCCACAACTAAGCTGAGCGACCTGGTCCAAGCGACAACCCTCTCTGTGCCTCAGTTTCCTCCTCACTGGTTAAAAAAACGGGAGTAAAAATAAAACTCGCCTTATAGGGATCAAATAGGATGATGCCTGTAAAATATTGAGCACAG